AGGAGGAACCGTAAAACTGATAGCGCCTATAAGGTACTTGGAGTGTTTGACCAATTATTTCATTCGTTTCTTACCTCTGGAAATACGTTRGATATTTTCCGCCATTTTTTACAGAGCGAATAACGGAGACGCCACTTGATGATTGGATGAATGTTGGTGAYTGTGGTAAAGGACTTAGTAAGTAGATTTCAGTCGCTAGCTCCTCTTGGAATAAAAAAACAACAACAATGTAGTTACTGCTGTGTATTCCATTATTCTTGCTGTTGTTGCTGTCGTTGTTGATGYTCCATTCTACTATCTATYCATTAAACTATCCATCATTTCCCCTTCCTTGCTTTCTCTCATCCATTATCCCATGCATTCATCCTTTCTTATTTCCCTCTATTTATTCATCCATCCATCCATCTACCSWTCCATTCATTCCCCCACCCTTCTCCCACCCTTCTCCCTCTCTACTCCCATATATATCTTCTTTCCTTTCCCATCCCCTTTCTTATCCACTCAACTAACATCCATATCATTCCATTTCTTGAGCCTGTAATCCAGAATGTCAACTCCTTTGCCTCAAGATGCACAACTACTATCGCTCCCTACACGACGCGCCTCCTCTRTCCTGCGACAACGAGCTGGCTAAATCCTCGCAGAGCTGGACAGACGAAGAAGCCCGCCAGGGAAAGATGTTCCATTCAGAATGGACGGACAAATTCACTGAGAGTATTTCCTGGAAAGGATGGGGATGGAAGGGTATGGAGAAGATGGAAGGAGCCATTCCAGGTGCTGCAAGAAGTTGGTACTCTGAGATCAAAAATGATTATAACTACGCCACAGGGAAAGGGAATGGWCAGGCGGTAGGGCACTTCATGGCGGTGGTGTGGAAGGGAGAGACAAAGCTGGGTTGTGGKCTTAATATCAAGGAAAATGATGGTACTTACGTGACGGCCCACTATGCACCTGCTTCGCATGCTAACGTTGATTACTTTGAACTCGCTCCTAAGAATGTACTCAAACGTAAAGATCCAGGTTAGTGATGCTCTGGTGATTCTTTGTGTGTCCATTTTCCTCGTGGTTGTTTTCAAGTCCCTATTGCACGAAATTTTTCTCGCAAAGAAAAAAAGTTGCGCACAACAGCGTAATTTTATCAGGTAACTTTCTACAACAATGAACAGAGGAAAAAAAGACAAAGTTTCTCTAAATTTTAAGAAATTCGTTGGGTGGTTTTTCTTGAATAATGCAAAAGTATCTTGATTTTGAATAGTTGAAAAACTGTATTATATATCAAACTTATTATAGAATCTATTTCTCTTACCTTTGGCTTTCACAAAAGTTCTTCAATGTGGTTGGATGAACATACCTATTGTGTGAATTTCAATGTAAATGCATCCAACTGTATCCTATYATTACACCCCTGTCTTTATCTTGGGMGCAAYGTTTTYCCATAATGACTTCAAACAGCTTYGCGCATRAGAAGAAACATGAATGTRTGGATGGATACAACTCAAACAAAGAATCTTATTCTCAAGAGAATGACACATAGTCTTAAATGGGAAAACATTGTTCCCATTCATTCATGAATATATGGATGGATATAACTAGCTCTCAAACAAAGAATCTTATTCTCAAGAGAATGACACATGGTCTTAAATGGGAAAACATTGTTCCCATTCATTCATGAATATATGGATGGGTATAACTAGCTCTCAAACAAAGAATTTTATTCTCAAGAGAATGACACATGGTCTTAAATAGGAAAATATTGTTCTCATTCAAAGTAAAGAGATCTATTTTGGTGATTYCAGACCCTTCATGTGATATACGATCATCAGAGAGAAAGCTCTGTAGTGAAGATTTAAAGGCGCCATTCGTCACACCTGAGCAGTGCTTAAAGGCAGGCTGTTGCTATGACGACATGTTCATGTCAGAACCCGGGGTCGACTTTTTCGGCGAGAAGGGAAGAAC